AGGAATTAGGGAAGCAGTGATTGCAACCGTCTCATTAAACTTGGAGATCACCATCTAAAATGCGAATACCCATTTGTATATATTGGTTTTCATATTTTGCAGAGACACAGATTTTAAAAAACAACCAAAAAAAAGACTCTTTTCAAACCATTTAGTGAATATGAATAATAAAGCATAGATTCCTTAAAGTAATGGGCAAGTTTCTATAATTTTTCAAGATATGAAAATGTTATCTTGAGACTTACATAAACAGTGTCAAGAAACAGGCCCCAAGCGGTGTCCTACATGTTGTCACCAATACTTAACCGCAAGCTAGTGGCAGAATTGACTGTGCCCAAAAGTAGAACTGGAAATTAGTCATTCCCCAGTATCTCAGCTAGCACCAGGAGGTAACCTGCAAGATAACACCACCCTTCCCCCATCTTCCCCAAGGAAATGTGACTTTGCCTGAAATAATCTTTTGACAACTTTGTCTTAACCTCTTTTTTCAAACTAGAAAACCCCTCAATTTTATAAAAGCCCTTTTACATGTAGATGGGGTGTTGCCTGGTTTGAGTAGTTTGAGGACACCAATTAGAAGTCTAAATTTAGCTGCAAAGTTGTTATCTAGATATTTCTTAGCTAAAGATAAGCTGTGTAAATTTAACCAGAGAGGTTCACTAATGAAATTGATAATTTTTAACAATAGTGATATTCTATATGTTGTACAATTCAATTATAAAAATATTTCAAATTTTGCTTTTAGTGATGAGTTAATGTCCCTAAAATGTAAGGAATTAGGCAAATGGCCTATGACTATGTAGGCATATCTTTTTATCTGTCTCCTTTTCCTAATAAATCTGTCATTTTAAAATATGAAAAAAGAAGGAAACCAACACCCAAACCACTGACAGCTTTATTTCTAGTCCCTTTCACTTACCACTATAATAGTTCCCCTTATAATTAACTAGGTTGCTAAACTGGATCATGACTTTGAAAGGTTACAAATTATTTTTGGAATAGTATTTATCTTCTTGTAATGGAACTGCAAAGTTGAATCTAGATATTTCTTAGTTATTTAAAGATAAGCTGTGTAAATTTAACCAGAGAGGTTCACTAATGAAATTGATAATTAACTTTTTGATACATTATAGAGATTACAAATGAAAATACAAACTTTTAAATTAACCATATTCTCCAAGGAAGATCACATCGTAAATTCTTATGGACATTTTCCCATATTGATGCAAAAAATGATCTCAAGTGCTTTAAGAAAATGACTTGCACAACAATATAAATATCAGTTCAGCTAAAGTGTTTATTGTAGTTAAAAAAATAAAAAGAAAGCAGCCCCTGATTTGCACAGAATGTTCAGTATAAGACTACCTACCTTAGAAGAAATTTTTTAAAAAGTTACTATGAGAAAAAACAATAAAGAATATAAGGTAGGAAAATAGGACAATTAAAGAGCTAAGATTTCAGAGCCTAGAGGAATAAAGAATGCAAAAGCAATAGATGTAAGAACAAACACATAAAAGGTTAGTGAGAGATATAAATGCCATCTGTTTTCCATGTCCCCTAAAGACAATGTGAGGACATCTTTATTTTATTAATCCAGCAGTCCCTATCTTGTAAACAACTCTTCAACACTTTCCTAGTCATGTGCCTCAAATGGAACTGACTCTAGCTCCAGAGGTAGCTGTGATAGGGTGCAAGGGAAAATGCCATACCCCTCTCTGGGTTCTTCTGGGACTGGACAAGTAATCAACTCTGCCCAACACGAGTCAGTAAACAATCAGTTTACTAAAACACGAATGTTAGTTTATACGGTTTAAAAATTTAAAGGAAAATAGAGAACCTGGGATATTTATTTGGTATTCAAGGACCTGGGGTATTGGAAGTAGAGTTTGGTGGGGATAGGAAAGATTTCACATGACAGACAAAAAGGAAGTGAACTCATCTTCAAAGATGAGATTCTCAGCGAGGATGTGGTACAGACACACCTACATCTATCTGGATGTCACCCACCAAAGTGGGGGTCACTGTTCATCCTTCTGGCAGAACAGTGACTGCTTCTTTGATTAGCGAAGGGCAAAGACTGCCAAGGACAAGTTTCCAATGTGCTTTCTTTAAGTAATAACAACAGACTTTGCTAGGCTCACTGGGCCTTGATTAACCTTTATCAAAGGTTGATTATCCAATATCAAAGTGATACTTAATTGGGGACCTACCCTGGGCACACTGAGAAAAGCCTATCAGGTGCAGAGGGGGGTAGATAATTGACCTAGGAGATGCCCAGGAAAGTTTTATGCATGGGGAAAGATAAGGAAAACTAGAAAACTGTTGGACACTGTTTTGCAACTTTGAGAAAACTGTGATACATTCAGTCTCTAGAAACTACCACAATGAATACCACATTGGATTATCTTACTTTAATACCTCCACTGATTGTGTGGAGAGGCAGTACAGGGCACAGAAGAACACAAACTCTTCATCCTTAGCTTATTAGCTATATGACCATGGGCAAGTCACTTTTGTATTTTATGTGTTTCCTCATTTATAAAGTCGGCAAGTAGTATGAACCCTCATAATAAGGTTGAGGGTGAAATGAGCTATGAGCAGTAACCAACACACTGTCTGGCACAAGGAAAGCACTTTATGTTAGTAGTTATTGTTTCTTTTTTGGTAAAGATTGCTAAGAAACAAAATTCACGAAAGAGATCTAATTGGCTTTATTAAGCAACTGAAAAATCAGTCAGCACTTCAAACAGATATAGCACTTGGATTACACAAAACGAAGGGCATTTGTCCTCAGAGTGTGAGCAAAGATTACTAGCAAAAGAAAGGATTATTTCTGGTAGAGCCACTGCCCTGCTGAGGAAGGTGAACAATGCTTTTTTCATGCAGATCATCTCACTGGTGGTAATGAGGAAACTCCATTTTGGGTTTCACTTTGGGGAGATTGAAATTGCCATGGGATTAGGTATTAATTCTGGGTTGGGGGATCTGGCACTAAGGACTCCACTTTATGTGTGTTTTTTAATATATTAAGTGAACTAATAATTGAGAAGTGCTTAGAACAGTACCTGACAGAGTAAACCACGTGTAAATGTGATCCACAATATAATTCCTCATTCATTCAACAAGTATTTACTAAATGGGATACATTTGTCAGGCTGATGTCTTCTAGAATAGCAATGTCAAATAGAAATGTAACCATAAAAGTGAAACAATTACACAATTTTAAATTTCTAGCACTTGCATTAAAAAAGTAAACAGATAAAAAGAGTGCACTGCTGATGGAACATAAATCAGTACACCCACTATCTAACAATATGGGTGTTCCTAACCTCTCATCTTAATTTTCTTGTGAGTAAGAGACAAAAATCAATGATCAAATAAACAATTTTACATTGCTATTTGTAGTCTGAAGAAAATAATCATGACGATTAGTGACCAGCATTAAGGGCACTCCTAAGATTTCTTGTGCCAAGATCTAAAAGAAAAGATGTTGAACGTGTAAGGAGTCACGTACAAGTGTTCCAGGTAGAGTGGAGGGCAAGTGCAGAGTTCCAAAGGCATGAAAGAACTCGGGGTGTTCAGGAAACTAAACCGACATGGAGCATAATTTGAATGCAAGAAGTGGCAGGAGGTATAGTTAAAAGAGCAAGTAAGTGCACAAGTCTGGATGGGCCTGTAAATCATGACGAGAGATTTTATTTTAAAAGCAATAGGAAATCACTATACTGTAGTGTTTAAAAGTTTGCAGGTAAGGAAATAAGGTCACTTGCTACTCAAGGTGGTAACTGCTCAAGGTGAAAAAACTAATAAAAGGTGGAAGCTGAGATTTCAGCTTGAAGGTAGCTAAAACAGAACAGAGCAAAGATAATGGTGACAAGGTCTAGGTTAAGAAAGAGCCTTGGGAAAAGTGATGATCCCCTGACATTTTTTTTGCAAAAACTTCAAATTCAGGAAAGGATGTCTATCGTATAAGCAGTGCTTAGGAACAATGTGTCCAAACAATCAACTGAAATTAATCTTTATTCTAGATACTGGAATATATTTGCAATCTTAGCCAACTTTGTTACATGCAAAATAAACTTCCTTCTAGATAAAGTGACTAGGAAATTTTTCGAGGAAACATTAACCCTTGAGAACTGGAAGGAAAAGCAAGCAGCTATTGGAAAACAGCAGATATAGTCAAAGTACACCGGCCTTGGGACACGAATGAAACTGTCATGTTCAAGAACAAAAAGTAGCCATATATCTACAGGGATATGATCCTTTACCAACGAATCATAAACCAGCGGTACACCAATAGTACCTCCATCCTTAAAAAAAAAAATGTTAACAAGTGATCGGAATAAAGAAAATACATTAGCACACACTACGTCGATCACACTTCATGAATTAACAATTAACATTGTCACCTCCATAATGCTGGCAAGTGGAAGCCATCGCTAAGAAAAACAAGCAGAGAAATGTCTCGCGCTACAGTCTGTTCAGCTGTCTCAGAAGAGTTAAAAAACTCCATGGCGTCGGTGACCCAAGAGCAGAACACAAGTTTGTAAGAATATGAGCGCACGCGGAGCCAGCCCATCCGCGGATTCCCAAAGGCGTAACAATACAGCTCCTCCGCAACCAGAAAGCACTTCCCTCCACACCCTAAAACAGCCACACTGCTGGGCAACCCCGGGCAACTTCCTCCAGGTCTTCAGGTCACTGCACGGGTAGCAGTCCTGCCTCCCCGATCCCCGGCCTATCAAACTACTAGAACGCAACTTCTCTTCCACCGGCGATGCAAGGTGGCACTTGGGAGCCAAGTTCACATCGGAAAGGAGACAGGAAACCTGGCGCTTACCCGAGCAACCCCACACATCATATCCGGTCACCTGCCCCGCAGCCGCTGCTTTACCGGAAGTCGCCGGTGTGACGAAGCAAAACGCACGTCGGGGGCGTGTCTCTCCTTGCAACCAATGGGGTCTGTCCACCTTCCCTCTCCGTCACCTATTGCCCAGTCGTAGCTTGTAACGTTAAAGGGCCGGGCACGGAGGGAGATATAGAAGCCGAGAAGGGCCAAGATCCCCAGTCTCTCAGGAGACGGGGGAAAGAAGCAAAATGGTTTACATCTCGAATGGTGAGTTGGCCAGGCTACGGGAGCGACCCCCTGAGCTGGGAGGCCGAGCTCGGCTTTCCTTCCATCCTTGCTGACTGGGCCAGGCACCCGTCGCGATTTTCCTGGACTTTGCGCCTCGCGGACGGGCGGAGTGGGAGGTCGAGTCGCTCTGTTGCTGTGCGTCAGCTGATCGTCCCTGAGTTTTAGTGCTCTGGCCTAGATCCTCTTGGTGCAGACAAAGCCGTCGTAGATAGTGGGTCTAGGGAAAGTTGTCTTGGCTCCTGGGCGTCTGCCTTAACTAGGAATGATGCTGTTTACATCCGCGGCGAAGCGCCTTGGCCGGGGCCACTGTTTACGGTATTCGCTTATCTACCCTTTGCTCTTTTACGGGTGGAGACGAGGCGCAGAGACAATAAGTCGCTTGCAAAGGCTGTTAGTAGCTCAGACAAGATTTGAATCGAGGTAGACTGAGATTGGCATCCTTGCGTGTGAAAGAAGTAGATTCAAGCTTTGGATTGGCTTTTTTCCATCAGGGTAGCTCTTGTACATGTAAATCCCCCACCCCACTCCGACCGCCTCGGATCCCCAATCTCGAGAAGAGACAAGAAGCATCACTACCCGGAGTAGAGAATGTGAGAGAGACTGGAAAGACAATATAAGTGGGTTAGAAGGATGCCAGAGCTGCCTGGCTGGCCGCCTGTGTGATCAGATGAAATGGATGCCTTGGTGCAATCTTTAACAAGTGTTGGGTCACCGTAACTAGGTACTGGTTCTGTTTGAATCATCTTTTTGCAGTCAGAGATGACTAAGGTAGTCAATGAGAATTCTTTTGTTAGAGTGCACTTTTCCTTCCTTTGCTCTCCAAAATCTCACACTGCCCTCTTGGTTTTTCTTTTATTTCACTTGCTTGGATATTTATATATGTATGTATGTATGTCATCCTCTTGGTTTCTCACTTAAAAATCTTTGAAACTAGTAAATTGATGAACAGGAAGAAAAAACTCAGTTTGACCTTAGCTTAAGCCATTTGCAGACTGTATCATTTCCTTTGTGGTTAAACCTGGCAACTTCTGTTGTGTTATTGAATAACGTTTTGTATTTGTAGTGTGTCTTATTGTGCATACACGGTCATATTTGATGGACATACATAACATGAATGTCATGTTAGGGCATTTTATCTCACTTTTATGTGGAGAAATGCCTGTTGCATTCAGGCAATTTTTTTTCCTCTGGATGTTGGGAAGAAGATTTTTGCTCTCAGAAACTAGGAGGGTAAGTGCAAAAAGCAAGATGAAAAAAAAAAAATGATACAAATGCAGTCAAGTTCTTCACAATCACAAAGGAAACGGAGGGTTTCAGTTAAGTCTATTTTCTTAGAAGGACTCTTTTTAAAAAATTTTTATAATAGTTTATTTTTACATATTTTTGTGCATTTTTCCATCTCAGTTGCAATCCCCTTGGGTTTCTCATCACCAAATCACCCATATGTCATCACCATAGTCCAGGGCATTTCCCTCCCCCCACTGTTTTTGATCCCATCCCTCACTCCACCCCACAAAATGTCTCTGGTATATAGCTGTTCATCATTATCACTATTTTCTCGCCTGTCCTGTTATATTCCTGCTATGAATAGAAGGAGTGTATTTTATCAGTACTTAAAAGTTGACAAAGTTTTCTCTTTAAACTGTCAGAAAACTTTTTTCCCAACAATTCTATATGCTGGTTAGCCCCAGACTACTTTTTCTGAGAGAATGAAATTACCCTATTAGCCAGTGAGGCAGAGCTAGTAGGAGGCAGAATCAAACCTAGCACTAGCAGTCTGTCTATTAAGTGTTATTCTTTGTTCTCAGTAGCTGTGTGGGAGCGCAGGTCCAAGTAGATACCTAGGAGTAAACTGGTCAAAGAAAGGAAAATAAACCCTGGCTGAGGGAACAGAGATGAGCTTGGTAAACTCTTCAGAAAGTGGTGAGCATTGGAGAGGTAATTGACAGATAGCTCTTTGCATACTAAATATTCTGACCTCTTGATTTGTATGGCTGTAATCCTACAGTATTAACTTTTTAAAAAATATTTATGCATACAGAGCTAGGGTACATGCCAGGGGTGCGGGGGTGGAGGGGCAGGTGAGGGGACAGTTGAGACAGAGTGGGAAACAGAACGGACAGATCTGTTGATACACACTGCTGAGGGGAGCAGCAGGCAAGGCAGGAGAGGTCTGTGCCATGTGGGTCAGCTCCCTGGCTAGGGATCGAACTCATGCTGCAGTGACTGTGGATAGCTTCATAGTGCTGAGACTTAATCCCCTTACTCCACCAGGGAGGCCCTAGAATACCAACTTTTCATGGATAAAGTGGTTTGGAAAGTGATGGATTTTTGCATGAAATAAAGCTGGAGTCTATAATTAGAATCAGCAGCATCCTATTGCAGAGTAACAGTGGTCATTTTTTATGTGTATGTTTTTTACATCATTTTTTTTTTTAAGATTTATTTATTCATGCATACAGAACTGGAGGACAGGCCAGAGACACAGGGGTGGTGAGAGGATTCACCAGAGACAGAGTAGGGAACTGAACAGGCCAACTGGAAGTACACTGCCCAGGCGAACAGTGGGAGCAGCAGGTGGTTCAGGAGAGGTGTGCTTTCCTATGTGGATCACCTCTGGGGTGGGATCGAAGTCGCACTGAAAGGGCTGCTGCTAGCTTGCAGTGCTGCCTCCTAACCTGATGCCATCAGGGAGAGCCCATTGTTCATTTTTTAATGTTTGCTTTCATTTCTCAGGTATAGCCGCTATAGAATTCCCATGACCAATTCACCATGCACCATCACCACAGTCCCCTGTGCTGTTCCTACCCTTATCCCTTTCCATCCCCTGCAGAATGTCTTTTATAGTTGTCTTTTTTTTCCACTAATTTTTTTTGATGCCTATGTTCTGCCTATAAGTGAAACAATCTGATATTTTTCTTTTTCCTTTTGACTTATTTCAACAGTTTATTTTAATAAACAAGCCTCATTCTCTTCAGTACTTATAGACCTCAGATTCTTTGATTTATAGCAATTTTATCATAGTAAATTATTCTAAAGACTTGTAAGAACATATGTAAGCAGTCTTTTGTAGGCAAGAGATTTTGCAAGTGTAAATACTCTGAACACAAAAATGGAAGTGGTATGGGCATTCTTTTTTATGTTCATCCATCCTGTATGTTTCCTCAGAATACTTCAGTAAACAGACATTATACATTCATGTTGATAGCAGCCCTTTCACAGTAGCCCAAAGGTAGAAGGAACCCAAATATCTGTAAACAGATGAATGGATTAAGAACATGTACTGTATACATGCAATGGAATGAACATTAATCAGCCGAAGAAAAAGGAAATTTCGACATATGCACAACATAAGTGGACCTTGATGAGGACATTATGCTAATGTGTGAAGTAGCCTGTCACCACAGTATAAACATTGTGTGATCCCAAATATGAAGTTCCTAGAGCAGTCAAAGTGAAAGACAGAAAGTCAAGTGGTGGTTGCTAAGGGATAGCGGGCAGGAGAAGATGATTGTTAATGTTAGTGGTTACAAACTTTCAGCTAGAGATGGATGACAGCAGTGTGAATGCACTTAATGCCATAGAACTATATATTTAAAAATGGTAATTTTTGGTGTATATTTTACCAAGGGAAAAAATACTTGAAGGATCACCCACCCAGATTATAAACTATAGGAAAGCATTTAGCATATTAAAGGAGTTACCCTTAGGTCATGGAGCTTTAATTTCTCTGAACCTTTCCACAGAATGGTCTGCACCTAGCAGACTTCCCCTTGTATTGATCTCTGGGAACACGAGACAAGTTGAATGCTCAGCTTGTGATTGTTGCCTGACTGATTAAAATCAGTGCATCTTGTGTCAGAAATTTGTACACTAACTGCAGCTTCTGTATTCTTTTCTATAGGGCAAGTGTTGGACAGTCGGAATCAATCCCCATGGAGATTATCTTTGATAACAGATTTCTTCTGGGGAATCGCTGAGTTTGTGGTTTTATTGTAAGTATAATAGCCCTTTAAAATAGCCTTGGTAATTCAGTTGACAGAGGTGTATCAGGTATATTTTGTTATATATACAAACAAGCTCAGTTTTCGAGAAGCAGTTTTTATTCTACCTTTTTTTTTTTTTTAAAGAATTATTTATTTATTTGTGCATACAGAACTGGGGTACAGGCCAGAGACTCAGGGGCGGTGAGAGGCTTCACCAGAGACAGAGTGGGGAGCAGAACAGGCAGATCTACGAAGTACACTGCTGAGGGAAGCAGCGGGCGGGCCAGGAGAGGTCTGGCTCGCCATGTGGTCTCCTCCGGGGCAGGCGGCAGGCGGGAATCGAACTCATGCGGAAGTGGCTTCAGATTCTCAGTGCTGTGCTTTAACCCGCTGCGCCACCAGGGAGGGCCTATTCTACCTTTTTTTTTTTAAGATTTATTTATTTATGCATACAGAACTGGGGTACAGGCCAGAGGTATGGGGTGTTGAGAGGATTTACAAGAGACAGAGTGGGGAGCAGAACAGGCAGATCAACAGAGTAGAATGTTGAGAGGAGCAGCTGGTGGGTCTGGAGATGTCTGCGGCGCCATGTGGGTCACCTCCGGTGCTAGAATGGAACTCATGTTGAAGTGGCTTTAGCTTCTTAATGCTGTGCTTTAACCCGCTGTGTCACCAGGGAGGGCCCTATAATCTACCTTTTTTAATGAAAGGAAAAGAAGGTCTGTGTGGTAATAAAACTGCCACCAGAATCTTATGATTATAAATATATTAGTTGAGTCAGTAAGCTTGACCATGTCTTAGCCTTCAACCTGCAACTATAGAGCCAGCAACTATAGAGCCAGACCTGCCCACTATAATGCTAAACAAAAGCACCTCCTTTTCTCAACTATTTCTAGTGTTAGTGTGAATTGCAGTTTTTATGTTATACAGTAAGTAAGCAAGAGGAATTAGCTCTTAATGAGAAATCTCCAAAGTCGGAAGGTTTTTTTTAAAAAAAAAAATAATTAAAATTAACATAGAGGAAACAAAACCTGAGTATCACCACAATTTCAAGCAATTCTTAGTTGAATGTTTGTGGTTTTTTTGTTGATCTTTCACGTGCTGTGGGAAGTGGACATCAAAGAAAGTTAATCCAGGCAGAAGAAATATAGCCAAGATAGAAGAAAAGTTTGACTAGCAGACTGTAATCTTTACACTTAATTTGATTGTGGCTTTGGTTTAGAAAGATTAATTGAATGTCTATATGTAGATAAATTAGAAGGGGTAAAATGAGAGACATTTCCATAGAAAAAAACTCAACAAGGGAAAAAAGAGGTCCTAAGTTACCCAATATAAAATTTCTTGAAAATCTCTCACAAATAGTGTATGTTTTTTACATCATTTTTTTTTTTTTTTTAAGATTTATTTATTTATTCATACAGAACTGGGGTACAGGCCAGAGGCTCAGGGGCGGTGAGAGGCTTCACCAGAGACAGAGTGGGGAGCAGAACAGGCAGATCTACGAAGTACACTGCTGAGGGAAGCAGCGGGCGGGCCAGGAGAGGTCTGGCTCGCCATGTGGTCTCCTCCGGGGCAGGCGGCAGGCGGGAATCGAACTCATGCGGAAGCGGCCTCAGATTCTCAGTGCTGTGCTTTAACCCGCTGCGCCACCAGGGAGGGCCTTAAATACTTTTTTTAACGTAGTTAAATCCTTGCCCCTCCACAATAAATTGAAATTCCATTTAAATGGATTCCCAGAAGCTCTGTGCCTCTGGCATACTATCCTGTCTTTTCTTCCCAAAGGTAACAGGTAGAAGTGTGACTAGTGCTACAAAAACAGATATTAGAACTATAAAAACTGAGAGCTGATGTAGAGTGGAGGAAGAAAGTTAAGGTAACTCTAATTTCAGAGTCACCCTAGACTCTGTCTAGGAGAATTACTAGCAGATATGGGCATGGAAGGGTGTCTGTGGTACAGAACATAGCACATTCTCTTTAGACACCTGAACTGCGTGATGGTGTCCAGCTGGCTTTGGCCAGATGTATCGGTTTGGCCCTAAGTGGGTTTAGACATCTTTTCACAAAACTGATTGTTGAAACCTTGGAAATATATTTTGTAATACTGAAAGTAACATTTCTGTGTTTATACCTCTAATTTCAGCTTCAAAACTCTGCTTCAGCAAGATGTAAAAAAGAAAAGAGGCTATGGAAACACATCTGATTCCAGATATGATGATGGAAGAGGGTATAGCTTTAAAAAAATTTTTTACTCCCTCTGTATATTTTAATTAGATATTATCATATACGGAAATAGAAACAGAGTCCATGGAAATTAAAGGTGTAAATTCTATTTCACAAAATGAATGCATTACTGTAAAGAAGTCAAATTCCTCAGATTTGATCATCATTTAATCTGGTAGAACTAAAATATACATTGCATATGCTATTGAAAAATCTAAATTAGGAAACAACATAACTGATGGCAGACGTTAAATCTATAGATTTCACTTTAGAATCTTGACTGCCAGCTGTTAATGAAAAACTCGGAAGATGAAGCAGCACTGGATTGTGCTTAATGTTTCCATGAGGCAACGTCATTGGGCTGGGTTTCAGTGGGGTATTTACAAAGGTGCTTTTTCGTTCAATTCATCACAATCATTGTTGAACTCGCTTTGCTCATGGGCATTATACATTGGTCACTGTACAGTTTTCAGTAACTTTTGGTTGCCTATGGTTAGTGTTTAAAAGCAATCAGTTAAATTAATGTCCACTAGCCAGTAGAAATTAACTTTTTCTTTTATTAGGCCACCAGGAAATCCCCCCAGAAGAATGGGCAGAATTAATCATCTTCGTGGCCCTAGTCCTCCTCCAATGGCTGGTGGATGAGGAAGGTAACTTAAAATATTAAATTGTTTTGCAGAGATTTCATTTTGAAAGTGCTTCCATGGGAAGGTTGTTTTCTATAGGAAAACAAATTGTCCAACATTTTGTAATTACTTAGACATCATTATTTGGAAAAATATGTATTTTACTGTCTTTACTGTTAAGATGTCTGAAAAAGTTTTTAGAACATAAAAAAAATTAAATTTTTCATACAGCTCCATATTAAACTGGTTACTAATTATTATAACATGTTCTTGTAGGTAAATGTCTGCTCTAAGAAGCAGACAACTGGACATGCACATTCATAGCAGAAGGAAACCATCAAGGAGTAGAGGCTGACCATGCCGGACGAGTAGATGAATGTGTATATCCAAGCCAGAATTGCTCTGTGCCCTTACAGATGAATGAGGTCGTGCTGGGAATTCCCCACACAGGGATCTGGCGTGACTGATATGCAGTTCTATAAATGCACATGTTTGTCTCATCTTTTTTGTATTGTTTATGGGAGTATTAATGTAGTTTAATACATGAATATTTTTAGGTTGTTAAAGTGAATTCACATCTTTATAATTAAAAATGAATTGGAAGAAATATAAAAGACTATTCAGTACTTTTAGTGTCACCTTTTTCAACCTCTGAGATACTGTTCATTGCTAATTTGTTCTCATTTATAAATAAATTGATTGTACTTATTTTAGTAGTATGCATATGTAACCTGTGTTCTCAATTTCTATCTTGAGGTATTTGCTCCATGAACCTTTAATACATGTCTGATTTGCTATCAAATATAATTACCAGGGTATTTATAAAACTGTAATTGACAAACCTGAGCTACAATATGAAGATTTGTTAGGCGGTCTTTGAAATCATGGATATCAAGGCTATCTGGACAAATTTGAATGTTAAACTTTGCTTAAGAATACTGCCTGTTGGCTTTAACCCCCATCGGAATGCTGGTAACTCAAATTCTTTAACTAAAATGGAAACTGAGGTTAATGATTTTTTGTCGTCTTTACCACAGTGCTTTGAATAATGACTTCATGTAATAGGTATTAAAATACTGGAAAAATGAGTGATACAGATAAATTCTACTTCAGTGTTTTAAAGACTTTCAAACTATTCAGGTGAAGCCATTTTTATATATATTTATAATTATTTATTCAATCCTATTTGCCAGGAAATGGGAAAATAGTGACATAAGATACCTGTATTCAAAAATAAAAGCAATTAAATGAGTTTAAGGAAAAGTACAATAAAGATAGTTTATTGATTATTCAAGTCTGTGTCAGATATTTTATCATTTTACATACATTTCAAAGATTGTTGAAAGTTTTAACTTTGGGCGTTATCATATGTGCACGTATACTACTCAACCTGTACCCATATATTTTTATATACTCTTCATGCTGACATTCTGTCCAGCCTCCAGCAAAGGCTATAATATAGTAGATCATGGTCAAGTGTCTGTAGGTGATGGCTTCTCTGCCTGTGATCGTCTACCCCTCAGAACTGCTGCTGCAGGACTCTTTCATAGGTCTTATCCTAGAGTTCTGGCTGCACTTAACATTTAACTGCTGTGAGGAGGAAATGAGATGCCAGTTATCAACCTGTACACTCTGCATGAGGTAGACTTATAGTGCAGAATAGAGTAGCCTCTTGAATATTTGGATGCAAACTTTGCCTTGACTACTCAGTAACTTAAGCTCTTGACAGATAACATTCTATCCTTGCTTACTCTCTATAAAATGGGGGTTAAAGACTGAATATAGGGTGTTGTTTTAAGGAGTTGTAGTCGTCCAGATGGGATATGATAGTAGCTTGGACTAGGTGCTAGAAGGAATGGAGAAGTGCATTCATTCAAGATACAGCTTAAGGAGTGCAGGAATTGTTAATAGATTTGGAGGTAGCAGATGTGAACAACCGAAGAGTCATTTTTTTGATAACTAAAATTAAAAAATTGCCGAGATGTTCAAAGTAGGAATAAGATTTTACAGGGAAGTACAATGAAGGGTTCCATTTTGAGCGTGTTTAAATTTTCAACACCTTGTTATATCCAAGTAGCGATATCAACTTCAGGGAGAGATCCAAACAGAATCCATTCATTTGGGAATTTTCTTTGTACTTAAAGTCATGACACTAGATAAAGTCATCCAAATAATATGTAGAGAAGAGACCTAGCTCTAGAGAACACTGACTAAGAGGCTGGACTGAAGTATGAGAAATATGGAGAGCCAAAAAAAGAAAAAGTAAACTGTTGTGGGGAGAAAAATAGATGCCTGATCTATAGCAGAAGGGTATGTCTAAGCATTCAAAACAACTGTTGCGGCATCCTCAAAGGCGGCCCAGTTAACAGCAATATCCGCCCAAATCAAACACCACCCCGCCTCCTTCCTCTACAGGTCCGTCCTTCCACTTTCCCAGAATTCTCTGAGGCGACGCTCTGGTAGCCATGTTGGTTGTGGGCAGTGTATGTGCGCCTGCGTGGGCCCTCGGCCTCCCCAACTTTGGCTTTCAGCGCGTCACTCTGAGGCGAGGGGCTGGTGGGCCCCGGCGACCACAATGACCCAAGCAGAGAAGGGGGACGCGGAAAATGGAAAGGAGAAAGGCGGGGAAAAGGAGAAGGAGCAGCGCGGCGTGAAGCGGCCCATCGTCCCCGCGCTAGTGCCGGAGTCGCTGCAGGAGGTGAGGCGCGGGCTCGCGTCTTGGCTGGGACGACTTCCCAGGCCACAGACCGCGGCTTACGGGGCGGGAGAGGCCGGCGGCGGACTTAAGCTTTCGGGCTCCGGACCTGAACAGGCGTGGGTGGCGCCAGCGGGTGGGCTTTCCCTTCCCGCGTCGGGGCGAGAAGCCCCGCGTGTGATGGGGACGAGCGGCTCACTCCGAGGCCTGAAGACTCCCCAGCGCCGGTCCAGCTCACATTCCCCGCCTTGGAAACACTACTGCAGGTCTGTCACCTACTTCCCAATAAGCTGAGGTTTCAGGGATTGCAGGGAACTATAATACCGGAGGTGGCTCAGGGAGCAATAGTTAGAGGTTCAGGCTTTTTTCTTTATTAAGGAAATTTCAGGTAATGGGGATCATGCCAGGCTTGAAAGTAAGAAAAAAGGTAAATGCTTTGTCTAAACAGTTCGTGTGTCGTAGACAATAAAATTAAGTTACACGAACCGAAACAGTTACTTGCTGTAGCACAGCAGGCGGCAGACAACCTTTAAACGTTGTGCATGGGTATGTGTGGACGTGTGCATAGACACAGGCTTACTTAAATGAGGAAGCCGCCAGCATTCCCGTTTAAAAACAAAACAGTTGAACGTGATGTACAGTTCATAGCAGAAGTAAATCGGGAGGCATTTACATTGTCAGAATTCTATGTTGGATGTCCTGAGGCAGCTTCCTTACTGGGAGATGAGTTAGAGATAAAGCCCAACCCTGGGGGACAATGTTTAAAGATGTAGCACTGCATAGGAAGCCCTGAGGGTGGTGATCACTGTTACAGAGACCTCAGTTTCTCCCCCCAGTTTACCTGGATGGTCTCTAAAGACCTTACTGAGATCCTTACTTAGGATTCCCTCTCTCTGAGGTGAGAGCTGGAAGGGAGTGCCCACAAGGAGGGCCAGGCAACAGGAATTAGCATGGTGTGGGGTGGGCCACTGTAGGAAGTACTGGCACACACAGCAAGTGCATCCTCCCGCACCCGTGATGTTTTCAAAGGAGATGACACTTGGACTAAAATCTGAGGGGTGAATAGGAGTTAGCCAAGAAGAGGGGGGATCTCAGGGAGGGAAGACAGTGGGAACGGGACCTGGACCAAGAGGATATGAGGTATTGGCGACTGGGATGTTTGAAATTGGAAGGAGAGGGAGCAAGAGATGAAACTAGAGATCTTAGCCAACCTTATGAAGGTTATATAAGTCAGGGTCTGGCTTCTTCTGAAGGCAGTGAGAACTTGGGAAGTTTTGCATTAACTGCCTGCCGGGCTCTCCAGCTATAGGATTAAGTCATTTAATCCTCACAATAATTTTATGAGGTAGGATTCTCTTAGGTGAGGAAGTGGTACAAGTGAACTTGAAGCCAGATCTGTGAATCCACAGCCTGGGGCCTTAACCACTACAGCAACATTTCCTTCACTTCAATCAGTTGTGGAACACCCTTTAGATTCTTTGTATTGCCTATGGCATCTGTACTGTTATTACTTAATTTTTTTACTCTTAAGCAGTAATAGCCAGAGAATGATACCTGGGTTGTATGGCTATGCTGCCCCATAATAAATTAAAATGAGTATGTAATTAATAAAAAATAATTGTCCACACTGCACAGAAGCACATTTACAATTACTTTTGAACTTGCCAGTTAATGTGCTGTAGCTTGTGTGCCACTCGGGAGGTACAGATATCATTGGGGGCAGGCAGCCTCATCTGTGTAACCCAGCCTACTGAACAAATGTTGTCTGCCGTAGCACAAAAAGCAGAGGACGTACCTGTTCAGCACCATATCATGTGGATGATACCATCATTCAACAAATACCCCTATGCTTTGTGTGCCATAATAAACAAGACAGAAGTGGTCCCTTTCACATGAACATTTTTGTCCATTGGGAGAACCAGCAATAAGTAAATGACAAATGTAATGAAAATAAGGATTACTGTAAGATTACATTTCAGATGGACAAACAGATCTCATCTGGTGACATTTAACTTCAGGCTTGAAGGGAAGTGTAAAATTTATTTCACAGAGTAAGAACACTGCAGACTAAATTGCCTCTATAAAGGCCTAGAAGTCAGCATGCTGAATTAAGTAAGTAAGTGAGAGACCCATCTAGGTTGAGAAGATTAAAGACACTAAAAAGGAAGTAGTTCTAGGATAAGACTAGAGAAATACAGGCTGTTGATCTTTCAGGTTCTGGCCTTCATTGTATTGGTTGGCTATTAAAATCTTTTGAATAGAGACACAACTATTTCTCAAAGGCGGAGTAGAGGAGGTACTGACTACCAGTCAGGTTGAAATGATTGTTCTTAATGGGGAATTATTGCTAAAGGGACTCTCAGAGTCCCTTCTTTCCCACTCCTCTGACAAGTTTACTTGGTAAATGTTCCTAAAGTGAGTCAGAGTATAGTTTGCCCCTTAAAATTTATGCCTCTGTGGTTAAAGCCCACAGTTATCACTCTACACAAACCTGATTTGTGTTATATTGTCTGTCTGTTTACTATTCTCCCAAAAATGAATTGTGAAATGTTGCAATGCTTTAACTACCATCCATAGTAAATGGAAGGTTCCCTCATGCTTGAGACATTGTCCTGGGCATCATTTTCCCACAGTGCCTGGTACATAAATAAACAGTGATTATGGGTTTATTTGTGATGAATAATTATGATTTCATTTCTCATAAATATTCATTAGGCTATGTACTAAGAGCTGTGCACAGAGATAAAAAGTGATTTAGCATCCACAGAGTAATAACTGAATATGCTTTAAAGCTCTTTACTGAATTATTTTGATTATGGGAAACTAATTTCTCGGGTTAGCCAGTTACCAATAAGTTATTTAACTTGTTGCCTGCTTATTATGAACAAAGATCACATTCTTATATTTTATATTTGCAGCAAATCCAGAGCAACTTCAT